ACTTACGCAACCGTTTATAATTTAGTCGCTTGATCAGGTTCACTTCGATTAAAGGGCAGGCCTATCATGTGTTCTTCGGGTTGATGGAAATGTATCTCCATGGTTCAAAACTGAACGGAATTAAAATATTGTTACCCTCAATCTTTGGTTTTCATTAAGCAGTTCTTCTTCTCTTTTTTCAGCTCCTCGATAACCCCATCTGGTTCTTGGAGGATTTTTTCCGGATGTAGAGGGAAGCCTAGAACTTAGATTTCACTGCTGAACAAATGTTGCCATTCAGGGTTTCGTTTACCTTTTTTTTACTGTATATTCCACTGTCATGTGAACAGCTTTTCCAACACGGGCGCAGCAACGCGAGGACAACGTATAGCCGATTTCCTTCAAATTGAACTGAAATACTTCGTCACTGAGGATTTATAAGTCGTCGTCATTCCCATGAAGCTTCTCCGTTGATTCGAAGATCGAACAGCGGGCTTCAACTACCTGTCAACTTTTGCAGATAGTTCATCGGATTATTCTACTTGAAGATCAACTTCCTTCTACCGAAGGCAGTCTAAAATAGCCATTTTCAGTTTCGAACGGCATATTCGATAATGGTTATAAATACCACAGAAAACAAACCTAAGTATAAATTTGTTTATTGAAACCTTTTTTATAACATCCATATGCCGGCAAATAGTTACGGCAACTAGTTTATGTTTCAAACAGAACAACGTAGGTGCAAGCAGTTGATTTCTAGCCATTTTCTCTATTGTTTCGCTCTCTTTTCTCGTAGGACGTTTCAAATTTACCACCAGAGTGGACCCGGATGAGTAGCAGCATTCTGCGCGATGAATCCTCTGGAGTAGGTTAAGATCTGTAAAAATTCGTAGCAACAATATAGAAATCTCCACTTCTCATAGATCTGGCATTTGTTGTTTTGGAGTTGTTGAACAAGACGGAAATTTTAGAGAGCTTAAGCACAAGAGCTTTTGTGATTAGGAATGCAATTGATAAATGTTTAGTTGGAAAATGAATTCTTACTCGTGTAAAGTTTGGGAGCTACCTCGACTTTCAATTCAGAGGTGTGATATAAAATGGTGACCTCGAAGACTCGCATTATAGCGGTCGAAACGTCAGTCCACGATTAATTAGACTCTTACATCGTGAGACAAACGATCAAGCGATCATTCATCTATAAAACCTCGATGAACGAGAACACTTTCTATAACATTGGGGATATAGTGTGGTAATCTTAGGAAAAATATCAATCTTGCAATCATTGTGTCCGAAACGGAACATTTTTATTCCAATAATTTGCAAACAATAATGACCACCATGCATGGCTTTTTTATGCCGATTCAGTTGTGGAAATATGTGTCACATAATTGATTTTTCTATTTGCAAATGTTTTTAACAATATGATCAATTATATGATTAAGAGATTTATCATTGTTTAGCCTAAAAAAGTGGTTTTCAACAGGTTTGCTGGATAGGTTTGTCAACTCTTCTTTCCCAATTCTTCGGGTAATTCCGATCGCAAACACTTCGATTCTTCTCTTTTTCAGAGCATCTGCTCCTATTTTTACAACTTCGGGTCCGATGAAACTGAATCCATCTGTGAGAATAACAGCAACTTTCCTTACATCTATAAAAAATAAAACAAGAATAAAAGCACAGCTAAAATAAAGTTTTTATTCCTAGCGAGTTTTCCTAGTGAAACCAAGTGAAACCAGAACCACTGAATTTGATGTAAGCTTTTAGGAATTTGAATAGTACCATGGATAGGTAAAAAGCATATTTTCTCACCAATATGGATTTCAGCCATGGCTCAGGAGAGGATATAATATTTATTCGCGTATCTTTCCAAATCTTTACCCAAGGAAACGTGAAATCATGAAAAAAACGCAGAACCTTTTAAAAGTACCTTAGTTGTAGCGGCAATTTTTGTCACTTAATGTAAGTTTTAGAGTAAAAATGATAATATAGTCGAACCTGTATTAAGTGGCACAGTATAAAGCTGACAGTTTTCAAAGTCTTGACATATTTCCCCTCAGTTACTGTAATTTTCACCTCCATTAGCGGTCGTATGCACCCTTTACTGAGTCATGGAATCATTTCAGTAACCATTATAGTTATTTATTGAGAAGGCAATGATTTGCATATCAAGGGAATAATCAAATTATTTAAAAGCACGCCGAAAAGCTGAAGGTATATTCTAGTCGTGTCAGGAGCGGGGATGTCCTCTTTTGCAAGTTTTCCGAATAAACCTTTTATGTGCTTTTTCTCTACACAAAAAGGCGCTTTTACGTTTAGTCTTATCTCGTCGACGATGAAAGCAACATTAACCAATTCCTTTTAAAATTGGCCAACGAGAATTTTAAAACCAATGAATTTTAAAACAAAGACAAAGAACAACTATTGATCTTAACGACGAAATAAACTAACCCTGAATTTATTTGAAATAAAAACAAAACGGCATCGTCGTGTCCTACGGAAAGACGAGTAAAACATTTTATTATGGGTGACTTACCAGACTCCTCGATTCTTGAGCCATGCTTTTGAACAAACAGTTGATTGTTTAATACACTTAGAGCCTTCCTTGTTTTTGTGGAAGATCCTTCAAAGAACATATTGTTCACTTTTTGCTCAAGCCCTTCTTCCTCCTGGTCGTCCTCGAACGTGGAATATATCTTCACCGACTCCGAGTACGCCACAAATGATACACGAACGTTGTCTCTGGAGATTCTGAATCGTCTTAGAAGTGTTTTGGCGAATTTCTTTGCAAGGCTTATGTTTTCATCATTTATACTCCCTGAAACGTCCAAAACGACCGCCAGGTCAATTTTTCGGTCGCATTTCTCTATTTTTCCTATTCAAAAGTAAAGACATAGTAATTTAACAAAAACAGCAATTAAACAGTAACCGACAATGTAGAAGTCATTTATCTTCGCGAGGCAAAGTATTATTTAGCAGATCACTTCCTTAATAAATTATACAAGGCTAAGTTTAATGTCCATGAAATATTATCGCTTCTGCGTGGAACCTGAAGATAAGGAAACTCCTCATTGGCTATGCTGTATCCACAGCGCACTCGCGAACAGATTAATTCTTTATATTGACATATCTCAGCTTATTCAAAATCCGTGTGAGAAACAGTTACTTAAATAAAAAAAATTCTTCTTTAGGGTTAGATTAAAATATTGCAATACGAAAAGTGTAAAGTATAGCTTGGCTATGCTGCAAAATTTCTTTTTTTTTTTTTTTTTTTTTTTATAGGCAATTACATCTAAATATTGCGTGATCCGGGAAGGTCACATTTCTTCTTATCCTTTCTTGATTTTAAACACTCTTCCATAAATCAATTATTGTGCTATCGTGGCTGTCAATTCTGTGCTTCAATAAGTTTTTTTTATTTTTACAGCGGGTAGTGTATTTTTAAACAAAGGTCAAGCAGTAAGTCGCAGAATCAGTGTGGACACCCACGCTAAATATCTGAACGACTCTTACTTCATACATCCTCTATAGGAGGTACTACGGTCACCAAAACTGACTAGAAACTTATATGATATTTTACCTGTTCTATTAAGCAATTTTACAATTTAGTTGTAGATGAAAAACAAGTTTAGGAACTCAAGATTGACGATATGTCTAATATTAGCATTACATAGTTGGTAAGGGTAGCAAAGTGTGGGGGATTACTGACAGCGACGAAAATTAAAAATTGCTTCCTTTCGTTATCCAGTTTTCACTACAAAAGGTATCGCTTGTGCGAGAAATATTTTTAATTTCTAGTTAAACTTATTTTATTTCTGTTCTTCAGTTTGTCTCACTCATAGCACCCTAGCCTTTTTCTCAGTAGATTTATTGTTAGGTACAAATAAAAAGAAGAACTATGTCTTTGAGTCGAATTGGAAAGGGAGAAGTATTCTAAATCTCAATTTTTCACCTTTGCTTATCACTTACAATATATTGTAGCCATCGCTTACCTTGGGCACAGTGAGTCACAAGAACAAAGATGACAAAGAAGAAAAGATGCATCTTCATTTACACCTTCCTATCGACAGTTGGTTGACTTGTAACTGATCTCTACGTATCAGTAAATAGAATTTAGCACCTGATTAAATTTTAATAGCTCCCAAGATGTTACTCTCGGGTTCAAACCATTGGATATCTATAAGATTTTTCCGACAGAAAAAAAAATTCCACAGTTCCTTTAGAAACTTACCCCCTTTATTCTCCTGTTGTTGTGTTTTTTGATCGTGGGCATCCACGCTTCTGGAATTTCTATTCCACTATCCCTGTTGATGTTGTCAGGGTGAAGTCTTATATGAATTGCCTCTTTGACCCTGCCCTTGTAGCAATAAGGGTCACGATCAATAAACTTTACTTCGTTCCAGAGTAGCTTGTGTCCGGTGTTGTGTGCATGCTCTTAAACGGCATAGGTCTCGGCATGGGCGAGTCGGATGTCTCGATCGTGCTCCTTAATTCTGTCTTGCATAGGTCTTCCAGTGTCTCCGATGTAAACCTCGCCGCATTCATAGGGAATCCTGTAAACTACGCCATCCTGTTTAGCCGGGTCGACAGCGTCTTTTGGTCGTATTAGCTGAGATCTTAGCATAGTCTCCGACTTAAAAATAACGCGTACGCCTTGTTGTTGTAGGCAACGGCGAAGCTGTTCGGACAGACCTTTGACATAAGGTAAAACCGCAGTACCTTTGAACTCGTTGGCGGGTTCGGCACTGCTGTTTGGTTTTCCGGTCATGGTAATTTTCTGCAAGAAAGAAAAAGGATAACCTAGAACAGAAGACAGATGCTTTTTGTCCTTGGAGATAACAGAGGGTTTTGTTACGAGACGTTTGGCGCACTCGTAAAGGGACTTAACAATACCGCGTTTTACTGATTGAGGGTGGTGTGGATCATACGCTAGGTATTGATCGGTGTGTGTGTGTGGGCTTCCTGTATACGCTGATGGTGAGGCAGCCGTCAGGTTCTCTTGAAACTGCGGTTTCTAGGAAGGCGAATTTTTTGTCTTTCTCTGTCTCCATGGTGAAGCGGATGGAAGACTGCTGGTTGTTAAGATGCTATAAGAAGTCATCCACGTTTTCGTGATCCAGGATGGTAAAGGTATCGTCCACGCAGCGTTTCCAGATCTTAGGCTCGTCGGATGATGCTGTTATCGCCTGTAATACAGTTTCTTACTTACCCCCTTTATTCAAATAAGTTGACTTCACTTTGCAAGGTAACTATCACAAGGGAGCCGTGCCCGCTATTGCCACTGCGGATTATGTTGTGCATCACGCCATGGTCACGTGTGCTTGCGTGTGAGTAAAACAAGTCGGCTCTCTCAATGACCACGCAAGAGACCAACATTTCCTACATTTATAGTAATCCGTGTGCCTATGAAAGGGCTATTTATCCTTACATGTTACGAGTCAAGTTGGCTCAATCGTGACTTTTTTCGCTTCAAAACCGAAAAAAGGAAAACGTAGTGGACGATATGTTTCCATGAAACACTTCAGGAAATGAAAGAATAGTGTTTTAGTATCATTGGAGGTGTTAGGTGTGCTAGAAGGAGATGAGATGACTAATTTAAAAATCTAAAATACTTAGAAAACGCGTCGTGACCCCAATTTTTTAAGGGCTTAAAGTTAAAAAATTGTTCAGCCAATAGCTCGGTTGTGCAAATGAGAGTGATCAGGGTTAAAAATGGCCTTAATCCAATTATTTTAACAATAGTAAATTACATTAAGTTGTACTGAGTATCGTATTTGGTTTTTATTGTCCAAGAAATGAATATTTGGCCGAGAAGCGAAACTTTGAGGAAAAGGAAAGGAAATTATCAATGGACATGCCAGCCGCCTGATGGGCTTCATTTTTTTTATGACCCTTCCAGTAATTTTCGTATTACGCTTTGAGAGCAATTTTTTTTTTACTCTTTTGTACTTTTCGGCGCATTATTTGACACCAGCTTTTTAATTTGACTATCACCACCACCATCACTATCACTATCACTTAAAAGAGATTTCGTTTTTCTTTCATGTAAAGTAATAAAAAAGGAAAAGTAAAACTCTTGGGCTAGGATTTTTTCAGCTGCCTTTGTTTCCTTTCGACGGAAATAATCGGAGGACAAATGTAACCCTCCACGGTGTTTCAGGGAATAAGGTGAACGCGCTCATACTGCAAGTTATAACTTGCTCGCACGCTAATGAAATGACACACTTATTTAGTTTTGGTAGCCATTGTTCATATCATAACTAACACGGTAGAGCTTTGTTTTTATGTCACGCTAGATTTTTTTCTTTCTTTTTTTTAAGACGCTAAGTTCTTTTGTTTCCTTAACACGCTAGCTGATCTTGTACAACCCAGCTAACTTTGTTCACTGTAAATCATGGCTCTTTCCCTCAGGATTTTCACAAGGAATTCATTGAGCACGACGTGTTTCACAAGGTCCATAGGAGCTCAGTTTGAACACCTGAATTACTTTTTCAAAACTTAATTCTTACCTTGTAAAATACAAATCCTTATCGCCTCACGTAGTTGATAAGCCCAGTGCAGAATCTTTGTGAATCCTCTAGCAACAAATTTCCGGCTCCATGTCTACTGATCGACGCGGTCGCTGTTCGTCACTGTGTGCAAATCGGCATTTTAAAATTAAATAACCGCTAGTTAGCCGGCGCAAAACGAAGTCTTCCGAGCGAAGCCACGCATTATTTACTGTACACAGATCTTAGCATCTTACGGACCCTGCACTGCCGATTTAAAGAGTGAAAACGCTGCCACTCCACCACACGGACTGTCGTACAAATTTAACAATATAAATATAGTTTTTTACAAATTTAACAATATAAATAAATAATGCCTCGGAGACTAGCAGAACAGACAAACACGGTGAAAACACAGTTTACCCGCAATGAAGTCTACAATTGCTTTGCATCATAATAGTTAACTCTTATTATTCTAAAAAGCTTGTGCTTGCTACCTTCAAAAGTTCATGTACGATTTCAAGAGCAGAGGACTTTGCTCGTTCGGTCCGTGTTTTGCAAGCTGTTTTAAGAGAATGAGGAAGTAAAAAATGAAGGAAAAAACTCAAACACAGTTTGAAATGATGGACAAAAAGTCGAGATATTTTCCTTTATTTTTGGCGATTTAGCGACCGAAGTTAGTAACTGAAGTTGCACTGAATATTGAGTATCGTATCGGCCGGGCGTATCGGTGAGCTAAAAGAGCCTTACAGCTCAGGACGTACTTCTTATATAAATCGAAAGGAACTTTTAACTGTAAGAGGCGTGTTATAAAATTGGCTCGGTCACCATGTTATATCGTGCAAAGTTGCAAGCAAGATCTTAACACGTTCCTCTGTTTCTACCGTTCGAAGCAAGACAATGGCTGCGAAGTTAAGGAGGCAAGTAACTAACACGCAGCTAACGTGTTAAAAGCTAGTTGTTTTGTTTTAGCGTGCAAGCGTGTGCGTGCGTTCACCTTATTCCCTGAAATCCTGTGGAAGGTAAAAAATATCGACGTACAAAGGGGTTATTGTCTTAACACCTGTCCGGTGATTTAGCGAGCACTCCTTGACGAAAAGTCGCCAATAGAATTGCGCCAAAATTATTGGGTATGTTATAATCCACTATAAACGTAAGTTGAGTTCACAAGAGTTCACATGTGTGGGCTTATTATTGAGATAAATTTGAATTTGAATTGAAACGAATTTAGCAAATAGCAATCAAA